GGCCCAGTAGTAAGTTGACGGTCTTTAACTGAAATCTTGTCATCAAATTTGTTTGCGCACCACGGCCTAGCATGGTACGACACGGCACCAAATTGCACCAATATAAGTCCAAAAATGCAAAAGCTCCCTATCTTGGGAGGGGGCACCCCCTCCCACACCCTTCCTCCGTTCAGTCACTTCGCTCCCTTGCAATGTCTCACCCTTACCTCTGACACCGAAAAGGTTGTACGGGCTTGATGTACACTTTATCTTTCTCTGTTAATTCATGCGAACAGTGAAATCAACCGAGTGAAATCAACTGTAAAATAAACTACCATGAGTCCCTACAGATTAAATTTCTATTCTATGTCATGGTTCAGATTCAGTTATCAGTTTCCCTTTAAAGGGAAAGTCCACCCCCAAAATAAGTTTGTTTCGATAGAGGCAGAATAATAAGAAAATCAGGTGAGTGAAAGTTTGAGCAAATTCTGAATGAAAATAAGAAAGTTATGAATTATTGAAGTTGTGATCAATCAAATACAAATTGGCAACTCTGTGACTTATTATACGAGCTCTCCTTCATTTGCTTTGTGCATAATATTCCATAAAATCATGTTTTCTTCGTTATTGATGACGGAATATATATTTGTTCCTTGCAGGGGGGATATAGAAACATATTTGCAATTATTATATTTAGGGTGCATGTATGGTTGAAATTTTTCTTGAGGGAAAATGAAAATTTTAGATTTTTTTAGTACTGAGCAAATGGAAGTTGAGCTCGCATTTTACGTCATAGAGTTGCCAATTTGTGTTTGATTGATCACAACTTCAAAAATCCTAACTTCCTTTTTTTTAATCGAAATTTGCTCAAACTTTCACTGACTTGTTTCTCTCATTTTTCTACTCCTATTAAAACTAACTTAATTTCAGGGTGGACTTCCCCTTTAAAGTTTCTTTCATGTTTCACATTTCACATTCATATTCATTACATAAATCATTAGCAATAAACAATGAGAACTATTCTTGCAAACGGTGTTAAAAGACATACAATAATAAGGTCATGAAAGTAAGGCGGTGAGGTCGGGATACTGAATAATTCCTAACTAACAAAATTGGTACGCTGATTTGGGCAACTCATTGACCTGAAGGGGGCGCTAGAGCCATAGAGAAGCCTGGCTGGGTTGATTAAAGGGAAAGTCCACCCTGAAATTAAGTTAGTTTTAATAGGAGTAGAAAAATGAGAGAAACAAGTCAGTGAAAGTTTGAGCAAATTCCGATTAAAAATAAGGAAGTTAGGATTTTTTAAGTTGTGATCAATCAAACACAAATTGGCAACTCTATGACGTAAAATGCGAGCTCAACTTCCATTTGCTTAGTACTAAAAAAATCTAAAATTTTCCTTTTCCCTCAAGAAAAATTTCAACCATACATGCACCCTAAATATAATAATTGCAAATATGTTTCTATACTCCCCCTGCAAGGAACAAATATATATTCCGTCATCAATAACGAAGAAAACATGATTTTATGGAATATTATGCACAAAGCAAATGAAGGAGAGCTCGTATAATACGTCACAGAGTTGCCAATTTGTATTTGATTGATCACAACTTCAATAATTCATAACTTTCTTATTTTCATTCAGAATTTGTTCAAACTTTCACTCACCTGATTTTCTTATTATTCTGCCTCTATCGAAACAAACTTATTTTTGGGGTGGACTTTCCCTTTAATTGTACAGTTATTAGTTTGACTTAGCATTAATTATGTTTCCAAGTATGCCGGGAGCGGGTAAACAACCCCTGGTTTTAAATTCTTGCATTAGATTAAAGTGTTCATTTCGATAAGCACGATGGAAATGAATTCCTGCATTTCCGATAACACGTTAGACAAAAAAACTGTTTTTCCGCGGACCTGACATTCTCGCGAAGAGATAGACTCCTCCCACTTTTGTCGGTGACTAGTTCAAATCACTCTTATCTATTATGCTTTGTCATTGGTCATAGTAATTAATTAAATGTATAACTCCTCTCTTAATTGGTCGGATGACCTAATTAAGGGTTATTTTATATATGCCGTCTTGTAATTGGTTGGCTTCGTAAGGGTCCTCCTGGTTGGCTGGGTATATCATGTGATATCTAAGCCTCTTCGGGTGCCGGAGTATTTAAATGCCATGTGCGGGATTTTGAGGTCAGTTTAGTTGGAGTTTTATTTGAGTTTTAGTTGAGTTTATTTTGGAGTTTATTTCATTCCGTTATCATGTTTAGGATGTGCTGCTAGTTTACTGTCGATAGGGCCGCCCAGCCTCTGAGAGAAGCAGCTTATTTGAAATGTTCTAAAATAATTAATCTTCGTTTGTAACTACTGGAGCTTCGACTGACTTTTATAATTAATCAAGTGGACTTCAACTGTATATCCGAGCTTATTTTGTATTCATTTTATTTCTGAACTTGTCGTCACCAACTCATTAACGTGCCCACCACACAAAGAAGACACATGGTCGGGTAGCTCACGTGTTGTACGTGAGAGTTGAAACCTAAATATTCTCACGTTGAATGAATAGAGTTCGTGTATCTAATTCAGGAGCTTACAAGGGTAAAAAAAAGTGGGGAATTATGGGTTCGATAGGCCAGGGAGATGAGAGTTTAAACTCTCATCTCCCTGGATAGGCTTGAATTGTTAAAGGTAATACAAAGTTTTGAGAAATTTTGAAAATTGGGTGGATGCCCCTGTGGATGAATTATAAGCACTAGCAAATTTAGCCCCTAAAACACTTCTGCTTTCGAGAAAAATTAAATATGAAATTTTGATAAATTTCAAATAGCACCTACGGTCGTACAATGGTAGCTGCGACCATGAATAGTTGTGATATCTTCCAAACGGGAATAGCTAATCGGTCGATTTTAGTCAAGAAACATTATTTTATAGCTCATTAATCAATTTCTTGACCCTGATAGGGAGCTATACAACACAAAGAGTTTATTATTTACAATTTCATAACTTTAGACTCAATTTCAACCGAGACAACGATCACTGAATATTGTAGGATTGCATTATGCTTCCAGTATGTTCATTTGAACCAAATTCATGACCCCATACCAAAACTTTGTATTACCTTTAATTATTTTGATAGCTCGTTTTTGTATAAAAAATTAATGAGGAATTTAGAGCTGTTCCCCCAGGCGAGTATTCCTTATTTAAATAAGGTAAGATTAGTACTATAGAGTTCAAGGTAAGCAAGACATGGATAGGAAATGTGATTTTAAGTAAACCGATGACACCTGTATTTCCCGATATAAGCTAGTATGCTAATTGCATTATCTGTACCAAATCACTCGAGTCTCAAATGCTTATAATTTCCTCCCCCAACTATGAAACATCGGAGTCAGGCAATTCATGAAAGGTCTAGAAAAAAAGGGGCGGGGTCACAAGGCATGTGCGGCATGTGTCATCTGTCGTACCCCATGTTTTTTTGTATTATTTTTGTGGTAAGTAGCATTTTTTTTGTTGGCCCAATTTTTAGGCAATATTTTGCGCCGACTCAGCCAGCCGCTGAATAAGCGGGGGGGGGGGGGGGGGTCCAATTTGTTAGGAAATATCGTCCTTGTTTTCATGAAGTGACGGTAGTGAGGAAAATCGTAACGCAAAGTGAATGCAATTTTTTTTCACTACCGTCACTTCGTGAAAACAGCGACGATATGTTGAAAATGTAGTCAAATTATGATAACAAAGCTAAAAATATGCCAGAATTTTGCTAAAAAACAGCCAAATAATGCCAGGCATATTGCCAAATGCTATAAGGGTCAAAATTATGCCGGATTCGAACGTTGATTGACTTGTCGTCCATCTAAGCGAACCAGTTAATAGCAGTGCTGCAATGTGGTCCTGTGGATAGCAAACATCCTCGGTTCGACTCCCAGCTATACGCCCCTTTGCCCCATGTTTTTTGTATTATTTTTTCTTCACCACTTTATTCATGTTTTGAATGGTCCATCTCTTTTTTTAAGGGGACACCCCCCCCCCCCCCACTTCCTCAACACAGGAGAAAATAACATGAGATACTCTAACAATTAGCGACTCTCCATCTTTGGAGTTCTTAATTATTGCTGTTATTGTTGTCGATGTAAGGGAAAGGGTTCCAAAGCACAATTATGATTGATTGATTGATATTTATTCGACAAGCTTCCAACATACAACAGTATACAATAATAACAGATCAAAAATAAGTCAGTTTGAACAGGATAATCCACGAAAGCTCAAGAGCTTATTTCCATATATGTCAATGGATTCTTAAAAAAGGAAAACATGGACTAATTGCAGGGGGGAGCAGTGTAGAAAAAAACTATCGGGATTTAAAAGGGGCTGTATTTCAAAACCAAAAAAACCTGTGTTGGTCTTGATATTTATTTAAACTAGTACTTTACCATATTAAAGTATTTTATAGACTGTTTGTTTAAAACTTAAACATTTACTTTAAAAGCTTGACATCCCAATGATTTTTTTAAATTTTTATGGAAAAATATTTATTTAAAAAAAATAAAAAAAATAAGAAGAATATATATATATTTTTTTAAATGGGGGGGGGGGGGGGACACAAAACACACACAAAATGAAATTTAAAAACAAAAAACAAATCCGCCCGCCCGCCCCAAAGCAATCGCGGACAACCAAGTGATTTTTTAATTTTTTTAGGCCTAATAAGCGCAATGCTCACAGCTGCACCTTGACGTCTGTCTTCGCGTATCTCCGTTCATTGCACGATCAACAATGTACTATATTTCGCGCACATGCCTTCATTACGCGCACCGTAGAAACTCGGGCGATCGAAGATGGCTGTTGTGTCTAATAAGCCACTACTGGTATTAGGGGAGCGGTAACTGGGCAGGGTACGGGTACATAAAATCTGCACTCTCTGATCTGCAAACTGTGCTTGCATGCTGCGACTTGAATTGCATGCACGTACGTAGCTAGTACAATAATTACGCATGTGGCAAATAACGTAATGCGCTATTATTATTCGGCTGGGTAATAATGTACGCTCGTTTGGCCTGGCAAGATCGGACATGTATCCACCTAATTTACCGGTTGCACTGATGTCCATTTGGGTATAAATTTACCCCCATTACTAAAGTGGAGAACACATCAGTTTTGCATGGACTTCAGAGACAAAGTGCTGTCCGAGCTCTGAGAGATTCATATCTCACGTAAGTTTTCTGTCAATAAATCGGCGTCGGAGCTCGAGTAAGCAAAATGCAAGATTCAACTAGCTAGCTCAGCTCGCGCTCACCGTCACATATGCATGATGTTGATATCAGAAATATGTGCAACTTTCATGACTTTTGCATAAAGATCTAGCCTATCTACAATAATTTTTGTAGATCTATGCTTTATGATTGAAGAGTGAAATTCACAATGAAACCAACTAGATGAAATTGTGTAGCATGAAGTCTGACTGTTGATAAAAATGCTAATCATTTAGAGGTGTAGGCCCTAGGCCTAGCCTAATAATTTATAATACAAGGTCACTGTTTTAGTGTTTACTAGTTTTGGTTAAGCTAGCCTACTGGTTACTAGTAGGCCTGGCCTAGGCTGCTCCATTCTATTCTGATCATTAGTGATATTATCGATAATGTTCAATTGAAATTGAATGTTGATCATTGATTTTGACATGATCTAACCAGTATTAATTATTATAAGTTGAGACTAATTTAGGCATGTGGTGTGCACAATTGCACAACGATATAGCTAGAAAAATCTACTTTGAAATTTAACTGTTTTTGTGCAGTAAATTGAACATTCAATTCAAGTTTGAGATGAGCTAGACGAGAAATCACAACACCAGTGCTGTAATTGTAAAGCTCTAAAGTTATAAACGACTACAAATATGTCTGTAGATGTAAAACTAAAAAGTGCTCTAGAAATCTATAAAGTATAAATCCATAAATGTGCACGTCTCATCATGAAGTCTTTAAGAACTTGTGAGTTCCAGCTTGCTACAAATGTACATGTTACATGATACATAGACCTAGTCTAGAATTACTTATGGTTGATGTTTGTTTTATTGGTGCAGTTTATTGTTGGTAATGAATAATGGTAATCATTTTTTTTTTTTTTTTGGAGGGGTGGGGAGAGAAATATTATTTATATATTTAAACCAATGCTTGTCATTTTTCTTTGCAGCATTTGCCCACAGTGTTTCCCAAGTGTAGTGAATCTATGAGATTTAAGGTCTACACAGCATTTAATCTTGGTTGGAGCAGCTTGCAAAGAACGTTTGTGAGGCCTGAGCAGCAACATCTTAAGCATTACACTTCGGCCTACCGGGATGCCAAGTGTCCTTCTGATAGTGGCTTAGGTAGACGTGGTACTGCATTACCAAAGTCTTATCTAGGAAATACACTCTCATCCAAATTTGAAACTGAACATAAAGGGGGTATAGTCTTTTTTCAATCCTTTTTAAACCCTACTGCCCTTTCTTCTACTTTGGGAAAGACATTTGCTTCAGTAATGGATGACGAGAAATCCTTCATGGTAGACTATGCACGGCTTGGGACGTCAAAATGCAAGAAATGCAAGCAGGGGATCGAGAAGAAGTCGCCTAGGATCGCCAAGCTCTCAACGAATCCTTTCAGCGATGACGGAAGCATGATGAAGAATTATTTCCACATCAACTGTGTGTTTGAGACGTTCGTCCGGGCGAGAGCTACGACGAAGAAGATCGAGGACCCGAGCGACTTGGATGGGTTTGAGAAGATGGAGGAAGAAGAAAAGAAGTTGATCAGGAAGAATATTGAAGGTAAGAGAATGTAGTTTTAATTTCTATTTGAAAGAAATTGTGTATTATTGATATCATTATTGAAACAAACAGTGCAATTATTAATTGATATAGAAGATGGAAAAAATCCAATTGCATTCCAGTTCAGTTGCAGGCATGTAACAGTTGCCAGGGCTAGTTTATTACCCATTGTTTTTTACTCCTCTATCAATCTTTTGCTTTTCTGCTCAGTTACACATACATGTACCTGTAGTTACCATCTAACTCTCATTCTCTTTCTCTTTCTTTTTGCTTCTACATGTCTTCTCTGTTTCTATCTCACTTCCCGCCATTTCCGCAACCGTCTCTTGTTTTGTGAGAAACTGAAAATATCTGCACAGAAGATATTCAGTGCCAAAAATTGTCACTTTTTGAAAATTGGAATCTTTCCATATTTCCTCTTAACTTCTTAAGACATCCTATTCTATTTCTGTCACATGCCCTCTCCTTGTATCATATATTGCATCGATAATTGATATATATTTCCTTCTCTCTCTCTCTCTCTCTCTGTCCCATCTCTGTGTCTGGTTCCCTCTCTCTCTCTCTCTCCCTCCCTCACTCCCTCCCTCCCTCCCTCCCTCCCTCTCCCCCTCCCCCTCTTTCTCTGTGTCCCTCTCTCTTCCTCAATCTCGCTCTCTCTCTTTATTGCTTTCTTGCTTTATTTCACCCTTCCATAATGATATTGCATTATTTCTCACTAATTTCTACTGACTTTCCTCTTACAGAACTGTTATCAAGAGTCAAGACACCCAAGAAAACACCAGCCAAAAAAAAAGCCACAGTACAAAGCGTCCTCTCACCGGGCGGACAAGTTGTATCCTCGTCTAAACAACCGAAACCCAGTAAGTCCTCAACTTTGAAGATAAAGTTTATTTATGGTCATGCGATTGCATGACCTAAAGAAAGCAGAAGCAATCGGGAAATGTTGATCATGTACGACATGAAAATTGATGTCTGCCTTCAAGTCTAAGGAAATATCAAATGGAAAGAAATTGACTTGCTGAAAATCACATGCATTGCACATAGGGTATACATGTATATGGGACTACACACAGATGTATTTTGACAGTTTGCTCCAAACTTTTAAGCTCTTCCTCATCGTATTTCAAATATGAAACCATTTGAAGAGAAGTCCTCAGGGAATAATTTGTTAATGAGCTAATGATTCTGTATGACTTCAAACATGTTCCATTAAATTCTCTGATTACAGTACAAAATAGCAAGATATGCTAAAAGAAAAGAATTGCTTAGCAGAGTATCATTAATGCTTTGTGCTCACAATCCCTCATTAATTGACTTTTAAGAGGGAATCCTTAATTGACAAAAAAATAAACAGCATCAGTGTGTAAATTATACTTGAGCATTGTCTCACCGAAAGCTGTTACAAAGCAGGAAACGATCTGTGGATATTATATATTAAAGTAAACTCCAGGAAGTATACAACGCCTTCATTGCATGTATCAAATTGTAGATTTTTTAAATCTTTGTCTTAATATAAAATCGCTGTTTCCTGTTAATTTCAACTTTGTCTTCCATGATTACAGGTACAAGTCAACCCTCCTCCTCTCATCACACATCAGCAGCAGCATCGTCCTCCTCATCCACCCCCTCACCCACCCCCTCTAAGACCTCCTACCAGGGGGACGGCAGTGACCCCAAGCATCCAGACAATTCATTCCGAGAGTACCGCAAGCTCTGTGCCCGCATCGCCGACATCTCCGGCCACCATGCTAAAACCAAAGTCGTTGCCGCGTACCTCAAGCGTGGCGCTGATGGAGGTGAGTCCAAAGAGTGTAAATGGTTAGATTGTAAAGAACTTTGATCAAAGGATTAGATGATAACTCGTTGTTTTGTACTTTGATTTCTGATAATGAATTCACAATAGTTGAAAACAATGATTATGAGACTGATTACAACTTGGTTATTCACTTTGATTCCCCCCTTACTATGATGGAAAATGTCAACCTTCACTTTTCTAAAACAGCACTACTAGGACGTATTCATGCAAAATTGAGAAAGCAATCAGAATCTCGGAAGAAAATAAATAAAATGAACGCGACTCTCTTGTCCAAGGGACTTTCCAACAGGATCTCCTAATACTGATATCACATCTTGTGCTTTACTTACTTTAGATACATTCAGTGGGGATCCGTACCTTGTTCTCAAGTTGCTTCTACCCGGCGTAGTGAAGAGAGTCTACAATATCAACAGCAAACAACTGGTTAAGCTTTTCAGTCAGGTATGAACTTCTTTTTTTCTTTTCTTAAAGTGATGGCTGTTGATGGTGCTTAGTGAATGGTTTGCTGGGCATCTCCATTTTGTAACTAGTGTGGGTTGTATGCTACAATCAGTTGCTGGAGCAAATGTGTGCCTTGCACGTATCGCATTTGCAAAATATCAGTGCCCAGTGAGATAATCGAAGGCAGCTTATGGCAATCCGACAATTAGTGTTTATTAATTGAAGTGATATTTCAAACAAATGCTTGATCATTATTCACTCTTGCTGGCTAGCTCTTCTTCTTGTTGATTCAAAGATTACTTTTCACCTAGAATTGTTTTGCTGTTGTGAGTCGCTGAAATACTGTATTTTAATGCAGCCCAATGTAGTTCAGGGGCTAACAAGTATAAACATTACAAAACTTGCTGTTGATTACCACTTTGATGAAAAGACTCCCTAGCCAGAAAAATGGTGCTGCATCAATTCAACTTGAAATTTTCTATAGAAATCATCATTTCCAAATAATGAATCATTCATACTATGGAGTCTATTTATACATTTTATTTATTCTTTAGATATTTGGAACAGACCTGGATGAGATGGTTACTGACCTAGAGCAAGGAGATGTCTCAGAGACGGTGAGGAAGTTTTACGAGGAGAGCAAACACACGCCCCCGATCAAGAAGAGTGTTCTCAGTATCTACGATGTAAGTTGATTGCAATATACCTCAAGAACTCATATTGAGAGATAAAGAGTGGCCTTGATTCATAAAATTTGTTTCAAATTGCAAGGTGCAGTAATGAACATAAACCATTGCATTTGATCGACTGTGAGCAAAGCTTCTACAGAAATGAGACACTTGTTACTGACGAAGCATTATCTCCCTCCTTATTGAATGTCCCATGTGGTTTGAAAAACCCAAAGTGAATTGTTGTATATCATTGCCTTGACCCTGCTGCACAAAACTTACCATCGATGGTAAATTTGCCATCAATGGTAGCTACCATGGAAACCTTGATTTTGATTGGCTGTTGAGCCCTGTTACCATGGTAGTTGGCATTGATGGCAAAGTTACCATCAATGGTAAGTTTTATGCAACAGGCCCCTGGTCTTTATTTGATACCAAAATATAGAATTATGAACTGTGAATTAAGGTGACATGAACAGTTTTTGTATAGAAATTAAGTTGTAAACAGCCATGGGAGGGGATCTCTCTTTTGCTACTGGTATAGTAAAGCTAAACAAAGCTTCCACAAGTAAAAAAAAAAGTGTTTATCTTTTTTACTCTTTACATATCTGATACATTTTTCCTAATTGATACACTTCCTTTAGGTGGACAAGTTTCTAGACAACATGTCCATGATGACAAAGGAACTCGAACAGCAGAGGGAGCTTGCCAAGATCACCGGCAAATGTACGGCCAACGACCTCAAGATGGTGGTCCGTCTTCTGAAACACGACCTTCGCATCAGCTCTGGAGCAAAGCACATGTGAGTAGAACTTAGGGAGAGCCATTTTATAGGATTATCTGAAAATTTCTTTGGCAACAATTGCTCCTGTCAAAGATTAGGGTTAAGGTAAGGTTTAAGATTAGGTATAGTCTTGGGTTGAGCATTGAAGTTAGAAAATTTAGTTAGTGAAAGAAATTATCATACATGTAGGAGCATACATGTATGTCTTCATTAAAATCATTTATTGTTTGGTGTTACACCAGGATCACTATAGTCAGATGGTTAATTTTGGTGGCTTTTAATTTGAAAATTGTTAGATTAAATCTCAGCCTGGCGCTTATAGACCTTCACAGGTGATTTTGAGCTGTGGTGATGATGGAAAATATTAATTTTGTTAATTCAGACCAAAGTAGTTGTCTTGTGAGTCATTAAAGCCTGTCCGCACTAGTTTGGCCAGGAGGGATTAGACCACCCTGGAAGGTCACTGACAGGTGGTTATCTCATCGAATCAGCTCTCATTAAACATAAGAAAAAGAGGATCAGGGGGGACCAACAGGCACCGATTGGGGAAGTTTTCTATATAGAGGGAGCAAGTAGCTACAAGTAGGACAGTGGGGCTTTAAAAAATATAATTAATAACAATTCTTTGACTGTGATTCACTCATTCCTCATCACCAGACTTGACGCTCTGGACCCCAACGCATATGAGGCCTTCCAAGCCTCAAGGGATCTCCTGGATGTCGTCAGTCGTGTCCTCGCCAACCAGAAGGCCAGCAACGGAGTGCCGGGCATGACAAAGAAGCTGAGTGTCAGGGCCGCTCTCATGACACCAGTCTTACCCATGCTGGTGAGTATCACGTGACTCCTGGGGGGGGGGGGGGCATTTCACAAAACTTGTCATCAGTGACAATTGACAGTTTTTGTTATAAGCTACCAAAATCCTTGCTTCTGATTGGCTATCAGCAGATTTGTCACCGACTTTTGTCACTTTTCATTGAAAAGTGGCTTTGTGAAACGGGTCCCTGGTTCATAGGATGCATTTATACTCTATTCTGTCTCTCCGTTTCTCACCAGGCTGAGGCTTGTAAGTCAGTCGAGATGGGCATGAGGAAGTGCCCCAACGGCATGTACGCGGAGATCAAGTATGACGGTGAGAGAGTACAGATCCACAAGCAAGGGGACAACTTTCAGTACTTCAGCCGGTCCTTGAAACCAGTCCTGCCTCACAAGGTGACCCACATCAAGGACTGGATCCCAAAGGCCTGTCCCCATGGCAACAGTCTCATTCTGGACAGTGAGGTAAGAGTGGATGTTTCCAGGGATGCCAGTTTTCAGGCCCTGGCGAGTTATTTTCATACCATAGTTTGAGCTTTTTTGTGTACAAACTAGCTCATTCTAGGTGATTTTCAGGCCCTCTGATCAATTCTAACTGGCATCCATGTGTTTTTCTTTGACGTTTCTGAGAAGCATGCTTCAATGGCATTTGCTCTTTTCGGTATACATTGTACATCCTACCTAGCTGAAGTCCTTATTTTCTGACTTCTGCTCTGGACCGATTACTATACCTTTGTCTAGCCTGAATCCTAATCTCAAACTCGATTGCACCCTTAACTCTATCCCTAACTCCAACCCTTGACCTTTGATCATGTCTAGTCTGGAGCAATTGTCGCCAGAGCAAATGTTGGGTCTCTTTCTCTTCATTTTTTGTTATTTCAAAATTCCATATACTTTTAAATATGAGATGCTATGATAATTGGCTACCTAAGTCTCTTGATTAAGTTGATTGGATACTGAAGATGAATCTTTCTTTCAGTTGTGTAAGCATTAATGGCAGTGAGATCAGATATATGCAAAGAAAAAATAATCTGCACACATGAGCAACTAGGTGAAATTTTGTAATTTGGGGGTCTGCAATAAGATTTTATGTTCTTGGTGCCTGTTAGTGTCAAGCCGTGGATATTCCATTTTAATTTTTAACATCCACCCTCTTGTGCTTAGATCTTGATGGTTGACAAAGATGGTAAGATCCTGCCGTTTGGAACCCTTGGTGTCCACAAGAAATCGGCCTTCCAGGATGCCAACGTTTGTCTCTTTGTCTTTGATTGTCTTCACTTCAACGGAGAAGACCTTATGGACAAGTGAGTTTTCACACATCGTGCTTCTTCATCTGTTTTGTTTAATGCTTGATAAATAACTTCTATCCTGTTTGATATTACCATGACTAGGATCACTTCTCTTGGGGAAATAATGAACTATATGAACAAAATTCATCTATGTGTACAGTCGATGCCATCCTTCAAACAGATTATGCTTTTGGGTATATGTGTACATGTGATATTGGTGGGAATAACATGATGTTGCAAACATTTAAATTAGATAAATTAAGAGGGGGGGAGGGGGATGGGTGAGTGGTATAGTATAATTGTAGTAAGATCATGGTATCACCCACCCCCCCCAAAAAAAAAAAACAAAACAAAACAAAACAATAACAACAAACAAATCAAGAGTGAAATGAGTCTGTTAACACATCTTATTTTTATCCTCCCCAAACCCTTCATAGGCCTCTCAAGACAAGGAGAAAGATCCTTGAGGAGAACCTAGACGAGATCCCCAACCGCATCATGCTGTCCGAGTCCAAGTTTGTCACCAAGACCCGGCAGCTCTCTGGCCTCATCGCGGACGTCATCCGGGAAGGTCTTGAGGGTCTGGTCCTCAAGGATGTCCAGAGCTTGTACGAGCCGGGCAAACGCCACTGGCTCAAGGTCAAGAAGGACTACCTCAAGGAAGGTTCCATGGCGGACTCTGCCGATCTCCTGGTGCTGGGAGCGTTCTACGGCACTGGGACCAAAGGTGAGAGGGCGCCCTCTGTGGGCCATCTCATATAGGCCTTGTTCTCTTGTGATATGGTGAAATGTCTCTAAAAAACCCGGCATGACAAATGATCAGGCATTCGCTGAGTGCCCTTCACGTTTCTGTATCTTTTATTTTTTTTTTTATTTATTCACCACTTTCATAAAAACATACAAAGGCAAAGAATACAATTGAATAATTTCTTGCAAACATAGATAAACCAATAAAGTGGAAAATACACTAAAGGAAATTACGTAGTGGTTGGATCTTCAAAAAAGTTACAAAAACTTATAGGTAGATGATCCTAAAAATGTACACACAAAAAAAAAAAAACAGGGACAAAGAAAATACAATAATACAATGGTAATTACACACATAAAAAATTGTGTTTGTTAAATTTTACATATGTTAAATTTTATAGAGTACATATAAGCATTTAGAATTACTCCATTTTGTGGCGTCGTGATAGATTTGATTACGTTGAGCAGTTTGTTGACTTTATTCTTGTCAGGGCTCTTATCCTTTTTTGTCCTTTTTGACATTTCTTATTTTCTCCAGTTATCATTTTCTGTATAATGCCTATTGTTATGTTTATGCCAAAATACAATAAATCAACAACTACTCTAATCTATAACATCATTTATGAATGGACTACTGGATTAATTTCAATAGCCTAAAGACTAATCCAGCTACAATTTCTTTCTCTTTTTAAAACCTTAGGTGGCATGATGTCAGTCTTCTTGATGGGTGTGTACGACCCGCACTCTGACTCGTTCCGCACCGTCACCAAGTGTGGCAACGGTCTGGATGATAATACGATGGAAAAGGTCAACCGTGATCTGGACATGGTCAAGATTAGTAAGGACAGTAGCAAGGTGCCGTCATGGTTACGAGTCAATAAGACCCTGGTGCCGGACTTTGTCATCAGAGAGCCCAAGGTAAAAATTAATTGGTGGCAGGGAATCACTGATAATTGTTTACCTCCCTGCAAGGTCACTGACAGGTGGTTATCTCATCAAATCGGCTCTCAATTATTGTAAAATAAGAAAAAGGGGCTCGTGGGGGACCAACAGGCACTGATTAGGCATTATTTGCTATATAGAGGGCGCAAGTAGCTATAAGTGGTGCAGTAGGGCTTTAAAGAGTGTGTTCCAGTTGCTTTAAAGGGAAGGTCTCGATTACGACTTGATTTGAGGGGAAGCAGAAAAATTGTGAATTTGAAAATAGAAATGGATGAAAGTCAATACAAAACAAGCGATTGTTAAATTGGCAATTTGGAATTGTGTGTATGTGTATGTCTTCAAGGACCAATTGCCAAGGAAACTTTGAGGGCAAGTCTAGATTCAGTGAGATATTTGTATTCAACATTCAACATTAGTGTCGTATTTCTGCTGTCAAATGTTATAAATAATTGCGAGATGTAACTAGTATTTGTTTAAAATCATAAATGCCTTTCTTTAGATAATCTATCAGAAGAAAGGCAAATCATTTCTATGAAAAACGTTGTAGCCACGTGTTATTTTAAGATAAAATTTGTATTTTCTACAGAAAGCGCCAGTGTGGGAGATCATTGGAGCAGAGTTCACTCAATCAGAAACTCACACAGCAGGAGGCATCTCCATCAGGTTTCCTAGAGTGACACGTATCCGTGACGATAAAGACTTTGAGACGGCAACTGATCTACCGAGATTGAGGGTAAGTCCAGGACCAGGTCTAAGTCTCCTGATGATTGATTGAGCGAATAAGATCACCTTGTCATTCAGAGGTTTTCACAACAGAAGAACTAGTCGTGCATCCTCATTTTTGAGGACCAAATGCTCTGACTGGTCCTTAAAAATGAAGGCCCACAGTACCCTGCAATTGGGGTTTTGATATTGATATGACTACTTGGACCCTCAATCAGGTCACTTTCACCCTATTTCACATATAATATCGCACTTTCATTCCAAATGAGACTGCAGCTGGATTGCACAACGTGTGGTGGCCTTCATATGACCCAAATTTCGACATCCATTCATTAAATTTTTTACAAGTTTATTATTTATTTTACTTTAACACAGACACTATTCAAGAAATCCAAGGAGAGTACTGATGTGAGTGCAATACTAGGTGTCCAATCCTCCCCGTCCAAGGTGTCTGCAAAGAGGAAGAAGGACGACGATGATGACGACGATGACGAGGAGGAGATCACAGGATTCAGCTTTGGGAAGGGTGGAGGAACAGGAGCTAGCACCTCAGCCAAAGGGGCCAGCCCAGCCAAGAAGGCAGCGGAGAGTCCGGCCAAGAAAGTGAAGAATGAGAGGAACGGCAACAACAGCAATTCACCAAGCCCAAGAAAGGTAGGTCTTCCACGAATCAAATCTTCTCCTAGTAATAATCTGATTTGATTATCTATATATTTGGCCCATTCCAAAGCTACAATTGATTTGATATCATATACAGTTCTTGGTATTAGTGATTTATGATTGTAAATTGTGATGAAAAGTAACATTTTACATGATAATTTGATTATTATCTTCAAAAACAATCAACAGATATACTCAAATCTTTACATGTGGTGGGATAATGTATGAGACATTGGATATGCTAGGAACGCAAGGGCAAAATGGGTCAATGTTTGAAATACCTTTCTTATCAATAATAATAATAAATAATAACACATTGTATTTCTAGAGCACTTAATACAATGTTTCTAAGCGCTTTACAAAAAATGGCGGTTCTCAGATAATAGTACATTCGATATCATATTTACCAGCTATAATTAATATATACTTATCAACTTACATTAGTTTAAAATACACATAGAATACAATTAATGTATGTTAAGCAAATCCTCTTTCTCTATAATTCTATTAGGAGAAGACAATGTGCAAGTATGGACCTGATTGCTACCAGAAGAGTAAAGATCATGTGGAGAAATTCAGACACACCGGCTCACCCTCAAAACAAAGTCCATCTAAGGTATGCTTTAATCAAGACGTCTTTTATTATCCCATTTCCTACAGGAACTGGATGTGCCATGTATTGCCCCTTTGGGAATGACAGAATCTCAGAGGTGATAGGTTAACATTGATGTGTATTACCTGGAACGGTACACCAGAGTTGAATTAGGAGTGATCAGAAAGGACAAAAGAAATTAGTGGTGTGTCATCACAAAGCTAACTTTGTTACAATTTTTGAGATTGGTAGAAATAGGAAATTTGTTTGGTGTTAAAAGTGTGTTTTTCATGGTTTTATCTGACTCAGAATCAGTGTTATTAATTAGACCTTCCCTCTGGCTGATTGACATTTTTTACAAGAAAAGCGAAATGAGTAGCATGAGTACTTAGAAGTATCCGTTGTTGTAATGAGGGATAATTGTATCAATATTTTTGCTTCTTGAAGGGAGCATACATTGTTATTGTGGTAGACTAGAACTGTTGCAAAACATAATTGTTTATGGTTTATCTGCTTTTGCAACAATTAATGTATACATAATCTATCAATGTATTTGTAGAAATGGTATCATGCACACCTTACATGTGAAGTAGTTCGTCAACAGCTTCATGGAAGAAACATCGGTTCATTTGAAAGATTAATTGCATAGAAAAAAAAATCTTTTAAAATGATATACGTGCTTGATATACCAATGTTTGTTTTATCCTTTGGAACAGGGTTTACCCAACGTGTTCACAGGCATGGTCATGTACATCCCTGAGGGAGTGAAAGATTACGAGAAGCTGCAGCGATTTGTGATTGCCTACGATGGAGATGTCATCGACGAAGCATCCAAATCCCAAGCCACCCACATCGTAGGTGATGCAAAAACATCCGACGTAAGAAAGATTTTATTACTCTTCGGTTATTAACTCTTTCAGGGAAAAAATTAATATTTATTTTTCGGGGGCTACTTTTCAAACTTACCTGCAAGAAATTAACACTCTTAAATTTGTTTTGCATTAAACTCTATGCAGATATACAGGGGCTCTTTTCTGATTTTCGGGGGCTGTTTTTGGCATTTCGGGGGCTATTTCGCCCCGATCCCCCGTGTATTTTGTATTTTTTTCACTGAACTCTTTGTTGCTTTTTCTTCTTCCATTCCCAATATCTTTTCTCTTTCTCTTTTATTTATATATGTGTTTGTGTTTTGTCCTCTCTATATATCTCACATCATGTCATGCCCATTGGAGGTTGGGGGGGGGGGGGCAAAATAGCTGCACCCCCCCCCCCCTTCTGAATGAGAGGAAAGGTGGGGAAAAAGAAAAGATCAAAAACAATTTTGGTTTTGCTTTCTCCACTCCATCCTAGCCCCATAATCTCTGGCCTTACTCCCCAAATCTTATGGACAGGAATACAAAAATTCACATCAGTCATACTTCCCTGAATACTTTGAACAAAAACTTCTGAGTTTGCATTTTAGATTCTGATTATTGATGTCACCTCATTACTTCTCCCGATTACCATCTTGCAATATCTTTTCTCTTTCGTGTGCAATGCAGAAGAATGATAGCAGTTCTTCAGCTGAGAATGTGACTTCAGACTGGCTGTGGCAGTGTATCAGGATGAAGAAACTAGTACCAGTCTAAGTTAGAATGGTAACTCACATTGGTTATGGTGTGCTTTGCTGGACAAGAACCCAAGACTGGTGACCAAATCTTGAATGTTGAAGGCTGATACCTATCTACAGAGCTGTTGGTCATTGTATGATACTTGCCAGTCTTATGCAAGAGCCAGTGACTGGTGACCAACATTTAGATGTAATAGGCATGATAAATGCTTATAGCCAGTGATTAATAAATAATGATTACCAGTCTGGGTCAAGCGTCATAAAATGATGACCAAACTTTGAACGTTGGAGACTGATATAGATTGCCATTGATTAATTAATGTAAGATATTTACCAGTCTGAAAAAGGAACAAAGTATGCAAGGATATATGGCTGTTCAGAAAATGTTGAAATAAACGTATTGATCAAGTACTTGAGTAGATTCTGTAAAATTATGAATTTGATTTTTTCAAATAGTTCCGGCTCTTTCATGCAATATAGTCCCTCTACTTTACATAGTAAGAGCACTGTACATTTAATAGAGCTCACTATGGTGTACTTTATCCTTATGTGTAATATACATTATGTCACATTGTTGGGTTTATGTTAAAAGAATTGGATTTCTATAATCAAGTCTTTCTTCCTACATCAGCTTGTGGTATTGGCCAGTCTCTTTTTAGCTGTGCCATACATTAGGCCTAACAAAAACAGATGTTGTATTGCCTTTAAGTGCCAAAACATGGGTCGGTCGGTCAGATTTTCTTTCTTTTTTAAAAACTTTTTGTTTGTTATACTACCTCTTTGGGCTGATATCTCTCCGTTTTGAATACTTTAATACATTTTTTAAATCTAAAAAACGGTAAAAAAAAAAAACCTTGTGTAGATTTCACTATTTTGGGGGCAATACCATATTTTTTTTATAGGCCTTTTGTATTAACACATTTATAAATCTTTGAAATTATGCCTTACTTTTCAATGAACTTGAATCATGATATGATCAATTATGCAGTGTATTTTTGCCAAAATTTATTTTTCTATAGAACAACAAAGGATGTACATGAATTCTTATAGCGATGAAACCTCGGTCATTTCTCTCTTTTTTCTACTGTTGAACTTGAAGTGTAGCTTGTGCTGTGAGTGAAAATCAATTGTGTGTAGATGTCATTTTGTACAAATTCATGTGTATACAGTATACAAGCCAGTGTTCTTGTTTCGTATGAATTCAGTTAAAAAAATTATTTGTAAATCCTCTTATAGTGGTCTACTGGTCACCCTCATAGGTAGGTCAGCTAAATCAAGTCATTCTTAAATACCCCAGTTACACCAACAAGACTGAAAGGTAGCCGCAGACTGATCAGAAAATTAAACTCCACCGAATGGCCGAGAATCAGTCAGTGTAGAAATAATTTGGAATCGGCTTAGCAGTATGACTGAAGCATATTACTAGAAAATGTGTTCATTTCATTATAACTTTATTGGCAGTCTATTGTCTATTAAAGCTCGGTTCAGATATGATGCGGCAAAACTGCTGCGTTTTGTTCAAAATTTGTATGATGAAGTCAAGTGTAATACGCCTTATATTTCTGTATCTTCTAACTCAGAGCTCAGTGAGTATGTGTAAGTCTTTTATTATGTGCAATTGCCATTCATTGACGCATAGAAAAATATGCAGTGGCTTTTTTGCGGTAGTTTACTGCACCATATTTACATAAGCCTTCAATATAGATTGAAGTGAATTCCATGGTTGACCTTCGTATCTGTAGGTCAAATTGTAACGACCGTCAAGCTCATAGAGCGAATTTTTGTATCTGTTTGTAATTAGTTATGTAAATACAATTAATTGTATATAATTGACTTGCGTGTAAACCATTCTTGTTTTATACATCTTTGAACCCCCCCCCCCCCCCCTCCCATCAAAAATTTTTTAAAGGGAGGAGTGTTATTGTCTTGCATTATGCCTATGGTATTCAAGCCATCTATGCCTCCAGAGGGGCTATATATTTATTTGTAGTGATATGTATTTGTCCATGCAATGCAATTAGTGTATTCTGTGCCAATGATTGTGTTGTAAAGTTTTCTGAACCTCTCAATATCGAAGACGAAAAGTCGTTAATTGCTTGAAATATTAGAAGTGATTTTGTGTGCTAGGTCCACTTATATGGTTGGATATTGTACGACATAAAGTTTTAAATTGCAGTGATAATAGACATTTTCAGTGCAGATGATTTTGATGGTAGACAATACTTGTTATACAGAGCGTATCATCAAATACATAGACATTATGTAATTTTGTTCTCTTTGTATATCCATGACGACTGAGAAATGTTTTTTTTAATCCCAGTGGTTTGTTCTCATTTATAAAGAGTATAAAGAGCATACTTGAATTGATTTAGTAATTGAAACTGCGCTATGATAATCCAGATAGATTTGTGTTGATTTGTGTGTGTATTTATGTATGTCTAAAAGCAGCTCATTACTTTTGTATGTATAAATCTCATAAACGAGAAATGTGGATAGATGTACTGCTAAACATTGCTTGTTGCATCAATCTAATTATGTCCAAAACCCTAGCCCTTACATGTGTAAATATTTTGAGAACAAAATGCACATCATATGCCCTTGCCATAAAAGTTGATAAATTATGTTAAATTGCTTGAATAATGAATGGATCAATTGATCAATTGTTCTCCATGTATGTTCTACTTACCACTGTATATTATTTTGTTTCTTTGTAAGATATTTTTCATGAAATGAAATTGAATTGAAGAGGATGTATAATAGTCTGATTTTGAACATCTCATTTGCATCATCTACATTGCAATAATGTAATTAAGTGTATCTTTTTTTCAGGAGAATACTTCAATTGTGAGCAGTAGAGAAATAAAAGAATGTATATAACGTAACATCTGACATGAAACCACTTTTATTTTTGAGTGAACATGATACCTGAATGTATAATATACAGATACAGTGAGAGAGAGAGAGAGAGAGAGAAGGGGAAGGGGCGAGGGAGAGGGGAGAAGAAAAAAGACCCTACAACTAAAATTGGATGTATAATATACAGATACAGTGAGAGAAAGAGAGAGAGAGAGACAGAGAAAGGGAAGAGTAGACTATACAAAAAAGTTGAGCAAGAGAGAGAGAGATATATATATATATATATAGAAGGGGAAGGGGCGAGGGAGAGGAGAAAAAAGAAGACCCTTCAACCAAAAGGCTACAGACATTTGTGGTATTTAATTTTTTCTTTCTTTATTAATTTATTTATCTATATAATTATTTATTTGTTTATTTCATTTCATTTTTATTCATATATAGTTTTGTTTACCTATTTATTTATTCGATTATTCTCTCCTTATTCAAGCTATAAAATAATACTCAGGTGAGGCTGCGCGCGCTCTAACGATAGAGGTCGTTAATCAGAAATGAAACAAGATGTAAACAACAACAATTTGTGGAAGATGGCACACAGCGTTCTCCGAGTTGATCAGGTAAATTTAATGTCTTTTGTCGAAATTGAATCTCCAAACTTGATTTTAGTCCGTAGCTGGGTAAATAAACAGATGATAGGAAAATTCTGCTTTTCAATTAATAATTTACTGTTGGCGTAATTCTGTTTTGAAGTGAGTGTTTGTAAGGTACAATTTGTGTATGGTGAAGTCGGTCATACGGTAGATTGTGTGTTCTGAATGAAAAATGTTGTGGGGTTGAATCCGGTCAATGTTTTGTTTTTGACCACGCCCCCATCTCACTTTAGTAAACTTAAGTTTAAACATTGTCATTGGTTGTCATGATTTTTTGTTTGAACATGGTTATTTTATAAAAACACATAAATATGAATTATAGTGTTAGGTCTATCTAGGGCTAGATCTAGGCCCTAATTGAAAAAACTTTCACTATCGTGATGAATGAATGATACCTTGTCCTAGCTAGTTGAAGTTGATGTAGAGTCTAGGGATGTTACAAAAAAATTAAATCTCAGAATTCAAGCTCTTGCTTTATGCCATTAGACAGAGCTTGATAAGACCTTTTATTTGATGCCTCATTCATCGTAATAGCCCCAGTAATAAGAAAGTTATGCCAATTTTAAACGCCCGGAAATCATGTATTTAATTGCTTTGTTTTCCTTTGTTTTTAAACCAAAAGTTGTGATCTCAAATGTGACCAAAAGATTCCATTTCATTACATAAAATCGCCCCAAAATGTATGTAAATACACAAAAACCGCTAATAGGGCCGTCATTTTTGCATGACATTTTCACATTCCTCATCCAAAAAAACATATTTCTAATCGATAGATTTTGCTGAAATTTCACCAAAAGCAAATTCACATGTTAACCAATCATCCTAGATACTTTTTTTCAAATCCTGTAGGTGGGATCAGGGTACAGAATGGCACTAAACACGGCTCTTGTGAAACAGTGCAGCAAAACAAACTGCCGAAAACATAAATCATAAAAAATTTAGTATGAAATGAAAGATAACAATGTCATTCTTCTCATCCAATATAAATCATGAAACAAAAATCTAATCAGCCCATCAAAAGATTCAAGATTCAAGATTCAAGATTATTTTATTGGTCCATGCATGCAAACATTACATAGAAATTTTGCTTCCAATGGCTTTTTTGACAGTGAAAATACAAATGATAGAAAATACAATATAACATTTAACAATAGAAAACTATGTACATAAATATGGATAACTGTTTATAGTGTGCATATGCCCCTCAATTTCCTATTGCCTACATTTAGCATGCGTCATAAATTAAAATGTCTCATAATATAATATAGTATTTCTCGTCACCACCCCCCCCCCCCCCCCATCCGCTAGCTCCCGATCCACAGATGGTTTGGATTTGCAGAAAAATAACAGTAATAAATACATTTACATTCAGATTTCATAATTATAAATACGTGATATAATTACGCAACACTTCTACAGTAAAATGAACTCTTAACGATTGAAAAAGTTAAGTTAACAATTTACCGGCACAGTCGTATAAATAAATAACATGCGTCATAAATTAAAATGTCTCATAATATGATATTTCATTTCCCGTCAGCTCCCCCCCCCCCCCCCCCCCCCCCCCCATCCGCTAGCTCCCGATCCACAGTCTCCAGCTATCCGTCTAATTGCACTTCAATATCAGCTATTGAAGTGCAATCAAACGGACAGCTTTCAAAATCAACAATAGCAATTTCAAATCTAGTAGGAAATATATTTCGAATCCAGTAGGAAATATAAAAGATCACATTTACCTAGGCTATCCAACTTGGTCTCCAATAGTGCATAACAGCCCCATGGCAGAAACCTTCATGGCGAAAGCACACACATTGTAACATACCTAGTTCATGGCATAATTTTTAGACCTATTCAGCTTCATTTGGTTTTGGTCAAAATGTCAAATTCTCTGAGCTGAGTAGGTCGAGGTGAGGATGTTCAAGAGTCAGATACAACTTTTTTTTTAACAGTGGATGAACAGTGATTATTCATTTTGTATGATTATATAATCTGCTCTAACAAAAATTGTATTCATTCTCAGTTAAGCAAGCAATATCATGAGCTTGTCTTTTATTTCCTTTTCAAATTTTAGCTGGATGCTCATCAGCTAGATGATGAACTTCATCTGCTTCTCAGGGCTCAGTTAACAAAAGCATTCCAGTTCTTCAGGGTATGACTAACTAATAATTGTTAATTAGTAAATTACCATATTTAAATTTTCTTGGTAACAATTAATAAGGCTCATGTCTCAAATTCAAGAATTATCAGAGCTCACTCCATGTGAAGTAGTTTGTGTATCCAACCACATATAGACTATTATTAACATTTTTGTTGTTCAGCTTTTAACATTTCAAAAATGTGCAATTGATGCTATCCAATTTAGATCAAACTTGGGTCAAGTTACTCAAGTAATATCTTCCTAATGTAAGCTTAGGTGAACTGAATAACATTTTGATTTGGAAATAACTTTTCAAATATTATGCAAACTAAACAGGAAAATAAGGGGAAAAAATGATAGAAGAAAAATCAAGAAAAGAAAGGTAGACACTAAATAGTGCCTTACATACCTTGCTTTATAGTAATATAATGCACATCAACATTTTGCCTATTTTGGATAAATGTTTTTTTCTTTCTTTTTTTCTAGCCGGGTGTACTCTCAAAGTGTGATCCTGAAGTGAATGCTGTCTTACGTCTCTTGATATGGCATGTACGTACCGTACCATAACAAACCTGGGCAATGAAATATGCAGGGGCTACACTTAATTAGGGAGATGTGAGTTGGTCTAGTGGAACATTCACTTGGTCAGCTCTCTGTCTTCCTCTACAAGCTTGCGCAGACGAAGACGGTGACGTTATAGGTCGTTCCCCAGACGTAAATAATCATAATCGGATTGATACAGCATAAGTGCAGCCAGCTTGGCACAGACATTAACCAATGACTTATCCTGATTTTATTTGTTAAAGGCCATATCCAAACTGAAAAATGAAATGGATGAATTATATATCAAGTGAAAGCTTATAAGCCATAATAAGCAAATATTAATCGACTACGAGGGTAATGGTGCAAAATATCATCGCCGAGGTGATCTCGGGGCTACTATCTTCCTGAGCCGCAAGGCGAGGGATGATGGTAGCCCCGAGAACTGATTCTGCAGAGAGTTTAGCTTCAGCTAGATTTTACAAAGCGCAACATGCATACATGTAATACAGTCGATGCCCGCTCATTTGACATTGACATTGACTTTGACATTTCGCGTAACCTACTTTGCTATGCGTATTCAATGGGCAAGGGTGGGCAAGTGGGGTAGCAGCAAAAAATTACTTTACAAAAAGACCTATCTCAGGTAGATAGTACTTATCTATACCTTTTTCATGCTCTGTACAATTGCAATGCAAACAACTATACATGAGGGATATAATTTACAATAATTTCTATTATATTCCATTTTAGTGTCTGTTAAAGGAGTATCAGCTCTCTGAAAGCTCAAAATCTAAAGCTTTAAAAATCGTAAGTTGTCGACCTAAAAACTTGCTATCCACTTGATGACATCATCTTATGTGGGGTACGCATTTTCACAAAGACTTTGCATTGATTAAGCATGGCTCATCGCCTCTGCTATATAGGTAAATCGATCTGGTCCACATGTTGTCGTCACTGTAACTTCTACAAATTCGACCCCTGTTGACCCCTAATTTGGAGGGGTGCGTAAAATGAGGTTTTAATTTGCTTTTGTGCAATATTAAAACGGTTAATACTTGTTATTTTTTTATATTTGTATTCTACATTCATAGTTTTCCATTTATATCAAGGTGTATTTTCACCGGATAGGGTCTTTAAAGTTTTCTGCATACTAAATGAAAGCCCCTTAGTGGGATTGGCATGCCTTGGAGCAATGTTTTATAGAATGGCTCAACAAATGTTAAAGGGTATTCAAGAGAAATTTTCAAATGCATGAGAATCATGTTATGATCTCCAATGAAAATAGTGTTGAAATTTGGGAAATTAGGTCAATTCTAAATGGTCAGGTTCCTTGTAATTATTGTTACATTAAGATAGAAACCAAGGACCATATAATGATAGGTGTATTTTGTGTCTTCAATTTCACAGTTTTCAATCAGCAAAGTAGGGGCCACCCTTGGACAGCAGATGCTCAACATGCTCTACACAAACAGCCTCCCGCTGGGTCAAAGGTCACTTTCACTAGATCGTAAGCACCAGCTACTCTATGCGCTGCTCCTCGTGGGATGCAGGTGGTTTCAGGAGAGGAGTTCAGATCTTTCTCTGATGACGGGAAGCAGCGAAAAATTCCAATTTGTAAGCAAGTTGAAATGACTAACATTTATCTGTTGTAGTTTTTTTTCTCCTCTGGACAGATAACCCCAACCTATGTAATCCTGTAGCTTTCAGAATTATTGGAAGAAAATAGATTAATGTGTGATCTAAGACAAGCTGCATGCACCAAGTAAGAACGCATTGTCACCAAACTCATGACCATCAAGAAACACTGTATTACTGTATTATTATTTCATAATCGTCACGTCTTGAACAGAAGGGAGTTTGGGGGTTAATTTTTGTAACCATTGCTTCAGGATTCTCTTTTTTGGGAAAGGGGTGGGGGAGGGTGGGGGGGGGGGGAGAGAGCAGGTGAATTCTCATTTTGTCTCTCAATTTGTTCAATCTATTTCTATCTATCTCACTCAAATCCTCTCAATTTATTCACCAAAAGTTCATCAGAATTTGTCATTTTATTCTCAAGGATACATGTATAAAAAAAGTTGAAAACTTGTTGAACTAAACTTTCAGATCCAAATCACCTATCAAGTTCTATAACATTCTTCTAGCATAATTATTTGAATTGAAATTTTGCTGTTCATTTTAAACTTTTTCTTCATGTAGGTATGGAAATTGATAGACTTGTTGGAGAGACTGGTGAAAGTAGCTTCTCTGGTTAACTTCCTGGTGTTCCTCCAGCAAGGCTTCTATCCCAGTCTTCTTGAGAGGGTATTGGGCATCATTCCAAGGTTTGCTCAGCCTCAGTCTGTCAGACAGGTAATTTACATTCCGGTATTCTGGTCATATTCATGAAGATATGTTCTATGTGTTAAAGGAATTTTATGATCGTTGCAACCCTCATAAAATCTGCCATTACATAAATTGTGCTATCTATTCTGTAATACTTCAAAAGGCAGTTTCGAAAATTGTACCCTTATAAATTTCATTAATCAGACAAGAGTTATTTATTCACAAAGGTTCTTCCTGGGATATTTTGTAAATTGTAAATTTACCTTGTAAATTGTAAAACAGAAGAGGATAATATTTTTTTCTAGACCTCAGCATATCCCTGCCGTAGTAAAGCAATTGCAAAGTGGCAGTAGATTACCGAATGATATTCTTTCAACTTAAGAACAAATTCTGAGTCGTCCTTGTTGCAGATGAAGCAAGTGATCTCTAAGACTTTTAGAACAGTATGATACTCTCATTATTATTGATTGTTATGACTAAGAACATCTCTGCCTAGTCGCCTTTCTCTGAAATCTCGTGTTTTCTTTATCAGCAACTAACCCCTTTCAGGATTCCACCTTTGACCTTTAACCTGTGTAGGTACAAGGTGACCCTTGAGTTCATGACACAATGGCATGGCATCCTCATCAGCAAAAATGAATCTCTTAGTATTTCACCTTTTAATTGTATAACCTTTAAAATAACTAGACAACCTTTTAGTTTATGACACAAGGACTTCCATATAATGGACTCAGCGAAGTAGCTTCTCTCAAGTATTCACCTGTGACCTTTAACATTTGTAAGTACCAGGTAACACTTGAGTTTCCCCCATTAGAGCTTCTATCAGCAAAACTGTCTCTTTCAACTTTCCACCTTTGACCTTTGTAATTACCAGGTGACCTTTGAGTTCATGACCCGAGAGCTTCTATGGCACGGCTTTGCTGAGTTCCTCTTCTTCCTCCTCCCGCTTGTCAACATCCATCGCATCCGGAACGTGATTCGACGGAGGATCGCTGGCGTTCCGGCGGGGCGGGGCACCTTGCAGAGGTCGTTGGCGGAGTGCAAGGAGTGTGCCGTCTGTGGAGAGTGGCCGACCTGTCCCCAGGAGATGGGATGCCAGCATGTCTTCTGCTACTACTGTCTCAAGGTGAAAGGGAGTTGACCGTGTGACTGCCATATGTTGAATTATGGATGTAGTTTGTTACATTATTATAATGAAAGTGATTCCAACATCCATTGTAATGTTTGTTTAATTTGAATCCTATTACTATACTCTACATCAGTCAGATTAATACTCAACTCTCTCACTGACACCGGCTTGATACATGGACCACTTGGTTCCAGTAGCTAGTGGGTTAATTCTATTCAGTGGCGCACTGAGTAAAAACTTCTTTTTTTTGGGGGGGGGGGGCAGAAGAAAAATAAAACCCAGAAAATCATGTCATTTCAGCAACATTTGTAAATCACTGGTGACGAATTAGAAATAAACCATGATTTAATTTTTTATTGGGGGGGGGGGGGGCAACTGCCCCCAAGCCCATTGTCCTGATGTCTGGTTTAACATTCTGCCGTAAAGCCAAAGCCACTTTTACCTATAGATTAAAGATATAGACCGGTAGTGGTAAATTGCGGTTAAAGGGTTTTGGGTGCAAAATATCCATTCAATATAGTTAAAATATTGCCTTCAGAGGTTTAGATGGCAATATTTCCGCATAAATTTGTAAAAAAGCAGAAATATATGCCCAAATGTTCAATGTTGAAGTGCATTCGCGATATCTGTCCAGGCCGGATTGATATGATAATTTACCAAATATATCAATTAGTAGGCGGTTTAGTTTCCCGGCAAAATTTGTATCATCACATACTAGTCAGAACATATTCTTTCACATGATTGGTAATAAGAGCTTCTATTTGATTTTTTGAGAGGGGGGGGGGGGGGCATTTCCAAAACTGGTCTATAAATGATTACTTTAAAAGTAATGTGGATAAGATAACTGTGATTCTTGTTTTCTTTTTTTCATTTTAGAGTAATTTTGAAGCTGATCCATCCTACACTTGCCCCTCCTGTGGTCAGGCAGTGGAAGAGTCCAACAACATCCGTCCAGTCATGTGCTCCGTTAGGTAGCAGGCAGCCAATCACAAAAGTTCAGTTTTTGCACTGCATCCAACATCTGTGAGTTTGCAAGGGTACGACAGTTTTTGTAACTTTGATGAAACTAAGGTGCGAGGCATCATTATGTACATGAAACAATCATTATCTGCCACTGACGTTCAGTACAGCTCCGATTTCTCAGAATCCGTATGGATTTCAGTAACTTTTTCTGAAAAAATCTCTTTGTTGTTGGGGTGTGTATATCGCAGCCCATCTTCAACATCACTTAACAATGAATTATTGTGCAAACTAGTACGCGACAGTACCTTGAGGAAAGAGCGACATATTCTTGTAGTAGGAGACTTTAACTTTCCAAGTATAAACTGGAGTAACTGGCATCTACAGTGCAGTGAAGAACAGCCTGCATATCAATTTTTAACTGCAGTGCAGGATATTTTTCTCTACCAGCACGTATCACACGCTACCAGATTTAGGGAAGGACAACAGGCTAACGTTCTGGACCTTGTGCTCACTGATGAATCGGACCTTATTTACGACAATATCTGCCTCCCCTGGGGAAGAGTGACCACTGTTGTCTATTGATCAACACGACACTTGAACGTGAAGAACCACAAGAGAAAAAAGACTCTGTCTATGACTTCAACAAAGGCAACTATGAAGAAATGAGGAGAACTTTGTGTGATGTTAATTGGGATGATTTCCTTGCCAATTCTAGCTGTACTGACTCATGGAAAAAAGTGTCTGATAAACTCCATCAATGTATGCAAGAGTATATTCCAAAGAGAGTCATGGGGAAAGGCAAGAAAAGGAATATTTACATGACTCATGAAGCTTTGACTATCTCCAAGAGAAAGCAGAGACTGTGGAAAAGATATCTGGAATCAAATAGCGCATGGGATTATGCTACTTATGCTCGTGAACGGAACTCCTTGCGAGATATGACACGAGATCTGTGCAAAGATTTTGAATTGCGGTTAGCAACAGAAGTAAAGTCGAATCCTAAATCCTTTTGGAGATATGTCAACAGTAAAACGAAGAGCAGAAGTAAGATCGGGAATCTATCCAAAACTGACGGAACAACAGCTACTACTGGTCAGGAAAAAGCTGATGTGTTGAATCAACAATTCAGTAGTGTTTTCACTATTGAAGACCTCTCTAGTATTCCTGAAGCTCCCAAACATTCAATTGACAATTTGCTTGACAAAGTAAATTTTTCAGCGGATGTTGTCCGAAAGAAACTACTTTCACTGAAGAATGGTAAATCTGCTGGTCCAGATAATTTGCATCCTCGTGTCTTAAAAGAACTTGCTAATCAACTCTGTGAACCATTTGCCAAGATTTTTAATATGTCACTCACAGAAGGTGTCCTTCCTCTAGAATGGAAAGCAGCAAACATTACGGCTATATATAAGAAAGGTAGTAGGAAGGATGCCGGTAACTACCGTCCCATTAGTCTCACATCAGTTGTGGTTAAGGTCATGGAGTCCATTCTTAGAGATGCCATTGTCAAGCACATGATTCACCAACAGTTGTATTGTGATGCTCAGCATGGATTTGTGCCTGGACGTTCATGCACAACACAGTTACTCTGTCAGCTTGAGGATTGGACAGAAAGCATAGACAATGGCGAACCGGTTGACGTAATATACCTGGACTTTAAAAAGGCTTTTGATTCCGTACCGCATGCTAGACTCTTGAAGAAAGTCGAATCGCTAGGGATACGTGACCCGCTTTTATCGTGGATCAAGGCCTTTCTCTCAGAGCGTGTACAGCGGGTTGTCGTCGATGGCTCTAAGTCAGACTGGACAAGTGTATTGAGTGGTATACCACAAGGCAGCGTACTCGGGCCCACACTTTTTGTTATGTTTGTTAATGATCTGCCAGATAGTATGACAAGCCTCACACAACTTTATGCCGACGACGCCAAGATCTACACAAGAGTACCAAATACAGACTTTTGCAGATTGTTACAAGAAGATTTGATTGGTATAGAGACATGGTCACAAACATGGCAACTCCCTTTGAATTTCCAGAAGTGTAAAACTCTCCACATAGGAAATAATAACTTGCACTGTTCCTACTCAATGGAGAACGTCGTATTGGAGGATGTCAAATCTGAAAGGGATCTTGGTGTTCTAATTGACAGTGAACTCACTTTTCGTCAACACATCTCTGCATCTACCCAGAAAGCCAACCAAATGCTGGGCATTATCAAGCGTGCATTTGTTAACATTGATCCAGACATATTCTTGCCTTTGTATAAGGCGTTGGTTCGTCCTCATTTGGAATACTGTAGTGTCGCTTGGAGCCCTAGGTTCATCACTGATGACAGGAGAATTGAGGCTGTGCAACGTAGAGCGACGAGGCTGTTCCCAGGTTTCAGCGTCCTATCTTACAGCGAAAGACTTAAACGGCTCAATCTCTATTCTTTACATTACCGGAGGGTAAGAGGAGACATGATCCAAGTTTTCAAGATATTTCATGGTATAGATAGACTCGATCCAGATTGTTTTTTTGTGAAATCTCAGTATCAGAGAACAAGAGGCCATTCATTGAAGTTATTCACTACTCGCTGTCGATTGAATGTCAGGAGTAACTTTTTTAGCAATCGGGTCATCCAGTCTTGGAACAGTTTACCAGAGTCTCTAGTAACTGCTACCAGCATCAACTCATTTAAACACAGCTTGGATTCTTTTTGGTCGGACAAACACTTTGTTATAGCATAGTCTGACATCCACGCATGCACTGATATAGACCTTTACTAATGTACCAAGTGATCTGACCGGGAAACCTACAGGATATCCTACACTCCCGTATAGATGATGATGATGATGATGATGACAGCAATCGTTGCATATGAATATCAACTCAGAATCAAGCAAAGCTCAAATGTTGTTACATGGTAATGCGTTCTCATTGGTTGATGGGGAAAGTGTGCTATCCTTCTTCTTAAGAAATAAGAGTATCTCCTACCAAGTTTGATAGTGCAAATTTTGGATACAAAGTGAATGCATTCCAACAGAAAATGTTGTATTAAAGGGATAGTTGAGTTTTGTTGCGGAGGGTGCTACACAAAATAATTTTTTGTGTAGATTGTGGAGATTGTGCGGGCAAGTATTGAATCCAATGACCGGGGTAATAGTATATCTGTAAAGCGCTTAGTGACATTTGTATTAAGCGCTATATAAAAGTGGAATATATAATATTATTAGATCTGTGTATTGAGAATTGTTAAATGGAACGCTATGTAGGTTGGGAGTAAAAAAAAATACTATTTTCATAAATACAGTTGTGAGACAAAGAGCATCAAATATCTATATCTCAAGGAATTCCCATAAAAATCATGCCGATTGTACTTTCCACTTTTATTTTGTTGACGTTATATACTGATTTCGTAATTGTCCAACAGAAACTTCCTTTTTTTTGGGGGGGGGGGCATGTGCAGAAAATTTTCAATAAACAGGTGGTCATGTCTTATTGCATATATTATGCTGCCACTTGGTCCTCTAGTCATTGTTAATGTTGGCTCAGTCAGTAGAGCGTCCGCCTCACAACCGGGAGGTCGTGGGTTCAAACCCCGGCCGCGTCATACCAAAAGACGTTAAAAGATGGGAGTTGTTGCTACCTTGTTTGGCGTTCAACAATAAGGGATAGAGCAACGTCGATCTGGCGCTGCTCAGTGGCTGCCGGGCTCACGATCAATTGGGCAAAAAGAATTTCCGTTTCGGTTTAATAAAATTTGGAGTGGACTATTAGGCTATTATTATTATTATTATTATTATTATTACTTTTTGTATAGAACTTTAAAATCTGCTCGTAAAGTAGTTTGTTTTACAGTATTTGGACAAAATTTTGTACGATTCCTTCTATGAATTAGTTCACTTGATGTCAGCTGCCTTGATGTGTTTGAATTAGAAATATTTATCTTTTTAATGTTTCATTATAAATTGCTATTTGTGCAATAATGATTAAACTCTTGTATTTTGTATTGTTAATTGATTAAAATCTATGTGAAGCTATTTTTTAAACAAAACATGAAGAAAATGAAAGTGAATGATTTCTTTGTACTTTTGTCTTGAAAGAGAAATGGAGAGTAAGAAATACCTCAGTGACATCCACAAACCGATTCTAAACCAACCAATGTTTGATGATTGTGTGCCCAATGTTTGATGATTGTGTACCGATATGCTTGTAAGTAAGCAACATGGGCCTATATTCATAAAACTTTAAATGTAATAATATACTTTGTATCAAAATACCTTTACGGTATCGTCCCCCCCCCCCCCCCCCTCCCATTACCTTCAGGAATTACCTTGGGGAAAGTTCTGTATAAAACCACACAAAATACACTGTATTCCCCCTAATATCTGAGAGATTCCTTTTTATTTTCCCTTTTAAAGGAAGGCAGCTAGTCTTGGAGAATTGCTTTCTAACAGACGGTATTCTGAATCTCCTTGTACATCTATACAGGTAGTGGGTTAATTAATAATTGTTAATTTCCTGGATGGAGATTTTTCCCGGACACAATTAAAATGGACAAGCATGTCGATCATACAAGGACTTGTGATGGGTAAGAAGGGAGGGGGGGGGGGGGGTGTAGTTAATCCACCACCCCTGACCCCTTGCTTATTCCCCTAAATCTGAATATGTAAGAGAAGGGCTTTGTTTGGCATGAATACATAAGCTATAGATGGACAAACGTCCATTTCTGATAGAGAATGGACAAAGCTTTATTCCCATATCCCATAATTCTAATCTGCATTAGGGTCATTTCTTTTTATGGCAAGTTTGAAGATCCTAGATTTTGTTCTTTTTTTCCCCTCATTTTGTTGTTAAAAAATTCTGCCAACTTGGTAGCAAGATTTGTCCTGACACCCCTATCCAAAATAGTATATGCTCCTCTTTTCCTCTTAATGTCTTCTTTCTGTTTCTCTCTCTCTCTCCTCTGTCTCTGTCTCTCTCTCTCTCTAATTCCCTTTCACTCTCCCCCCTCTCTCTCTCCTCCTCATCTATCTCTCTCCCTCTCTCCCCCTCTCTCTCTCTCTCCCCCTCTCTCTCTCTCTCTCTCTCTCACACTTTCACCCTCTCCCTATCTCCCCCTCTCGCTCTTTATGTCTCGCTCTCCTCCCCCTCCCCCGAATCGGCAGCGCTTGATGTCAGATCATGTGGATTAACGGATAGGATTATCTGGTCTGTGTCACCCTGTGGTAGATGGAAATGGAGGAAATCCCTAATTGTACACGTCAGGCTATCTATCAGGAAGGTCTAATACTCACATACCTGCTCATTAGTCGGAGGGGTATTTTAATATTTACCAGAAAATGTCAAATCTTGTATCATTAAGCTTTAGAGCGTGGATTTTCTCTCCAAACCAAAGTAAATCCCTAATAGTTAAAGCGGTTTTTAACACCTGCCCATTTAAATTACGAACTTAACTTTAAGAATTGCTCTGAATATTCGATTCAATACACTGCACAGAAGAAGAATAATAATTCATACCGGTAGTACTTTCATGATATTTATTAAAAATTGAATTCACAAATGGAATCGTATATAGTCGAAGACATTCCAGTGAGTTGAGTTGTATATGTTATTTCCTTGTATACATTAAATTAATTGAATATATCATACTAAAAACAGTAGTCCGTAACAGGTTATTTACAAATAGTATATTTATACATTTTAAAACAATGATAATACATTTTTATAGACCATTGGGTATTTACTTGCAGCAATACAATTTAACATCTACATTTTCGATTACATTGTACATTGAAATAAAAGAGATTTTACAATAATATTCTGTGAATAAATAAAAAAGTATAGTGTGGGACATAGCAATCGGGGCAGCTTTCACAAATTATTAAAGACACAAGCTCATCGATATCCCATTGAATCGAGTGTATTTGAATGACAATACACGCGTCTCAATGGAATATCGGTAAACTTGTGTTTGGGAAAGTTTTGTGAAATGATGCCCTCAGCGATGACAGCTAAAATATTGTATCAACCATTGGGACTATTCGAACAGCAATGTAATTCAACATCTTCATTTTCTATTACACGTAAATTGTACCTTGAAAAAGAAAATGTTGTCATTTTCTGTGAACACATAATTATTAAGCCGAACCAAAAAGGGGGAAAAAACATTGGTGGATCCAGAAAGGGGGAAGGGGGTCGTCTCTATTTCAATCTTGCCATTCAATTTATGTCCCCTCTGGTAATATTTTTTCCTCGACCCGCCTTTAAATCAATTTTTCCGTGTTCTCCCCCCCCCCCCCCCAAAGAGCCCTTAGATTGAGCAATCCATCTCATTCAGCAGTAGCAGAACATGTACGCCCTTAAAACTGGAAAGAACTTTGGATGGGACGATGCCTATATTATTGACTTAATTTTGGAACACATTCTGGTCAAGAAAGTGAAAGAATCAATCCGTATCGATATGAATCCTTCATTAAATACAGTGAAGGACTGTGATTACATCCTCTTCGCTCCAATGATCTCGAGGAAGCAGACAGCAATAAACTGTGTGAAGAATCACTTGACTTGAGAAAGTCAACAGGAATGGATGACAGCTTAACTCAATTTTAATATTGGTAGAAGACTAAACTACATTGTTATGATCACCCCAAGCAGGTTTTTTTTTGTTTAAATAAAAATATCGGTATGATAGCGGACGGATGTAAATTGCATAGAATAAACTCGAAGGGCAGGGAAGGGGCGGCGTTAGGGAGGGGGCGGTTGCTGCCTGTCCCGTAACTTCTTAAAAATGTCACACGTTGTGATTAATGGTGACGTCATCATTTGATTTGAATACAGATGCCTTTGTTGGGTATATTGTTCTCAGCATCACCGCCGTATGTGATGTAACATTGGTAGCCTGTCGGACATTCCAGTAAGATTCCATCCCCCTCGTCAAATGTAGATGTGCTGCACGATTCGACTGTAGTCAAAGAAAAATAAACAAAGGGAGGGAAGGTGCAAAAGAGAATTGCTTTAGAAAATTACATAAATGACTTAAATATGACCATGATAATTTTCTATCATTTAAAAATTAGAGAATTCTTTGCTGTTATCTTTCATAAATTGGGAGTCATTAATGCACTGATATATGCGCTCTTTTTTGTTATTGCTTTCTCAACATTTTGTCAATAAAACATAAAGAAAATATTTCATGTAGAAAAGGTATTTGATGGGGCTAAAAGATTGGGATTTAAATACATTAAATTCATCAGACAAATTTAGAGATTCATTATGATCCTCAAAATCTATCCTTTTAATATAAAAGATACATTACTTTAAACTTACCAGTGTGTGTCTTTTCTGGCCCAGTTATTAACCATGCGTTGCCTGGTGAAAGAAATCGAAATTCGAAAAGGAAATCAAATCGCTAAGGAAAGAAAAAAAAAGGTGAAAACTCATGACCAAAGATAATGAGCAGTAAGAAGAAGGCCTATACCATTTAATATGCGCATGTAAACATATTGAAGGAAAGGAAAGCCTTTAATATTCACAATCCACTCCAAAATATAGTGGGATGCACGCCAAAGGAGTGATTGTATAACTCCTTTTAGAATGACTTTCATCATTTTTAATATGGATTCCACTCCAAACGATGTGATCCATATATGACTCCCCAAATTGAATATCCACTCCTGAAAATTTGAATACGGGTTATCATATCTAATTTAAAAAATTCTATTTAGAGGAATTCTTGCGTCCCTATATAATTAATTTAACTATTCTTTCTTCGGTTGTCAGCTGTCCGTAAAAAAATCCACCTCACCATGATTGCAGATTCAGCATTAAAAGAAGAAAATGAAAAAATACTGCAATCCAACAAAGAACGAAAAATGAAATACGACTTCTGTCAGTTTTAATAATTTTTTTCTGCTTTGAAAGGAGTTGACACCATTTCTCAAAGGAAATTTCTAATTCTCGACGGAATATACACTCTAAACTAAAATTGTGACCAAAAATGTCTCAGAGGTTTGAAATGCGGTTAATCGATGAACACATTTCTCAAGAGAGTGGTGAACTTATTGAATTCCATTTCGAGGACCTTCAAATCAGATTAAGTCCTAGATGAGGCTCAAATTTCAAACTTTCATGAAAGGACGTTTAAGGTTTAAAGACGGAAACAGGTCAACACGCTTTCCTCTATATACCACCTCGTCATCCCCCCACCTTTGCGCCCCTCCCCCCCCCCCCCCCCCCCCCCCCCCCCGTCATCCCATGCCCGCCTCTATATTTCTCTACTGCCCCCTTCTCCCCATCTCTGCATGTCTATTCATCTCTTTCCCTCCCCCATTCCGTTCTTCCGTCCCGTATTTCCAACCTTTCCCATCCTCTTCTCAATACTCCCTGATCCGCCCCCCTCTCTCTCTCCCTCTCTCTCTCTTTCTCTCTCTCTCTCTCTCTCTCTCTCTCTCTCTCTCTCTCTCCCAATCCCTTTCCCTCTCCCCTCTCCCCCCCTCTCTCTCTCTCTCTCTCTCTCTCTCTCTTTGAACATGGCACGAATCCCGGAGAAAGTATTTTTATCCTTTATTATTAAACAAACAAAAAAACTTCTACCACTTTTCATGTATTTGATGCCTCTTTTATTTTCTCCTCTGTGTTGCTGGGCGAGGGGTGGGCTCTGTGATACTTTTCATATTTTCTTTCAGTAATAATAATCCATGTATACAGTCTCTCTCTTTCTTTCCGTTTTCTTTCTCTTCTTCTTCTTCTCCATTCTCTTCCTCTCCAACCATCCCTCCTGTCATATATTTCAAACTTTCTATTTCTTGGTGTCAAATTCATGATCATTATCTACAGGTCCAGATCGAGGAACTAGGGAATTCTCGTCATAATCAACAGTTGCAATTGGGTTGATTTTTCAGGTAATCATATTTGACAAGCCTTACTGTATGCCATTGCCAAGTTTGACCGCATTAATCCATTTTCAATCGTCGCCATGGTCACCCTTGTACACTAACCGATTCTTAGGACATTTGTGGTAATGTATAGTTGTTAGTTTGGTTTGGGGTCGTTTTTGTTGGTGTCACATTACGTTTCTCATTTTCTTTGCATTTTGCCAATTTTTTAATTCTTGTCTCGATCTATGGTGTCAAGTATGAAATGATACAATGTTCACTATCACTCGGATAGTCATTGTTCTAATACCCCAGAAACTCCATAGACAAAACCTTGGCCATTAAGTCTGTTGTTGGTCTGCTATCGGTCTCGTCTTTGTGACTTTGGTATAAATTGCGTAACTTCATCAACTAACAGAGACGGACAGGTGGGGGGGGGGGGCAACTGTCAGCCCCTTTAAAGCCCAATCGTACATATACCCACAAAATGTGCCCCTTTAAAATGCACCGATTTTTATGTTATTTTTATAATTTTTGTTTGGTATTTATATACTTGTTAGAGTTTTTTTTTAATTGTGTCCCATTTAAAAAAAAACTTTTCCAGGATCCGACCCCGGATATTGCCCCTGAACGAAAATGATATAGTATTCCATAAGAATCAATGACTTACCAGAAGTTCTTTGTCGCATTGGTTCGTTTAACCAGTCAAAAGCTGCAGCAAAGAAGAAGGAAAAAAGGGTAAGTTAAAACATGTATATTGAAGCACAGTTCAAGTAGAGTACATGTAATTTCAGGCTAGCAAAGCAAGACCTTGTTGGCCAAGTTGAGAAAAGTCTCTACTGTAAGTGCCCATCTTCAGAAAACCTTAATTAGCATAATATTGTCAAGTAACAGCACTATAGCCTATGTAATTAGTTGACATCTAGCTGAGTAAGGTTCTATATTGAGCCCAGATGCCTGGCGGGACCTTTCTAAGGGCGTGTTTATGCTTAACTTTTTCTGGCAAGAATCAGGCATCTGTTACGAGTTTAGTTTAAAACATGGTTGCGTCCTTTCTCACTTTTGTAGAATCGCCGATCGTAAACTCACAAAAAGATGCGTTTACAATTTGTAAACGCGTTTAAATTGGGTCAACGCACTGACCTCTAGTGGGTCTACGTAGCATGCGCAGTGCAGGTTTACGAATCCAGCTGCTAGGCCAATTAAGGCCACCCCGGGAGAATTGCCTGGAGGAGCCAGAGAAGTGAGCATAAACAGTACACCGTGGAACTGCGATTACGATGAGCGTTTACGATGAGCGTTACAAATCGCTCATTCTGCCTTCAGAATTTAAGCTTAACGCACCCTAACACACATTTTGTAAGGGTTTATTCATGTCGGTCTCAATACACTGCATGGTATCGCATGCATCACACCTTTGTGTCATCGCAATCATATCCACCGATCATGATGAGTTTGTGTATTCAATTTAGTTTGCAGACATCGTAATACTTATGTGTCTGTGGATCACCTTCCAATTCAATTCACTTCATTCAATTACCGCGATACAAAGCAGTCGTTCATATTCATGCATAACGGTATGAGTGTAGAGTTTGTGTAAAGGAATTAATATAGGCAATTCATGCAGCATATTCGGAAGATTAAACAACAAAAAAATCTTCATTTTCCCCTCGTTGATTGAGTTCGAATTTGGTTATAGTGAAGAAAATGACTAGGGGAAGGAGGGGCAAGGTACAAAGAATTTTGTTCAAGTATCTCAAAATTCATGGCCAATTAATGTACGAATTATCAAGGATGTTGATTGGGTGTAGGTTATGGATCATTTTCTTATCACGCCTCCTTTCCCCTCTTCTATTTTAAAGAACTTATTCCCTTTTTGGTTCCCCCTCTCTCTCATTTTGCCTTTCAGTGTGTGAGTGAGTGTGGGGGGGGGGGGGGCTGCCCCCAGTAGCTACGCCACTTCCAGGGTCACACACAGGCCTACCTGGTGGTGGTTTAACGGGGTTCATGCAGGTGTACTGGCACCCATTGAAGCAGCATTTCTGTTCCACTGGACACACCCTATCTGAGCGGCATCCGCACTGCGAGCACGCATCATCCGGTATCTGGTCTGGTGGAGGGGGGCAACGCCCAACATGGCGGTTCGGTGTAAGAGATTGGATCTGGAAGAAACAGGAAAAAGGAAAAAATGATTGCTTTACTTTAGAATTCGTACTGAAAAATGTTTTATTTATCATATCATAAACATTTTGACAACCTTTTGGCAGCACATGATGATTGTTACCATGACAGTTTGGCATGTTGGCTGGCATTATGTTGTGCTACACGTAACCCTTTTTATGCACTACACACTACACAATCATTCAACAAGAATGTTGATGGATATAATATACAATGGAAATGGTCCAACCACACATTTCGGATCAGTGTTATAATAACTGTAATGATTAATTATCTGTATAGCGACCTTTGGTGATTATTCTCTTGAATTATATTATTAGGAATGCGTCATGTTTGGTTGTTATGACATTGCAGAGTTCTTGTTCTTGCAAAGATTGGCTTTGGTGAGGAATTTCATTCATTTAAAATCGTATGAATGATTGTAATCGCATCGGCTGACCTCATACCACATGGGAAGAAAGGAAGAGTGGGTGAAGAGAGGTTATGGGAACGTAGAGAGCCTGAGAGAGAGAGGGAGAAAGAGAGAGAGAGAGAGAGAGAGAGAGAGAGGGAGAGAGCGAGAGAGAGAGAGATAGAGAGAGGAGGAGGATGTCGATACAAAGAAAGAGAAAGGAAGTGAAGAAGGAGCCGCATAAGAAAAAGAGAAGATGAAGAAAGTTTCAATGATGTGGTGCTCACTGTCTAGACAGAAAAAAAAAAAAGATTCATTAAGAATCGGGAGGCCAGAAAAAAAATGAATAATGGAATTATAGAAAATACTTTGGGAAAATTAGGGGGGAATAGAAAGAAAGATAATGAGAGTGAGAATGAGAAAGAAATAGAGAGGAGAGAAAGAAAGAAACAGAAAAAAATATATATATATTATGTATATATATAGAGAGAGAAAGAGAGAGAGAGAGAGAGAGAGAGAGACAGACAGACAGAGAAAGGTCTAACAAGACTGAATACTGCCCCAGCAGCTGCGTGAAGTTCTGGAGAGTTGTGAACTTTTCAACCATTGTCAACCGCTCATGTCACATTAGAACTTGGAGGGTGGCCAATTGGATTCCGCAGGCGTGAGGTGTGCGTGACGTCATCAAAACTATGAGGGGGAACTCAGTAGTACGAAGTTCAGTAGTACGAAGGGCGATTGTTGTTCGAACAAACAATATCAGATCACTTTGTTCATTCTTTTTAATAGTCATTCAGTTTTATTGGCCAAAAGTACATTCAAACACGCAAAATTAGTTTGCTTATATTAATAAACAGGCTCAACAGGCTAAAACAATTTACAGAACAATCTGAATCCTAACCTGCCATTCATCTTTCTTTAGTTTTAGTTTCAGATTCAGATTAATTTATTTACATTAGTTCTAATACACAACATAAATAACAAAATATAACGTAATATCATAAGTTGATTCAAGAATTGGAAAAGCACCTCACCAAGACACTGAGAAAATATCGGCAGAAGGGTGGTAAGACTATTTTAAAACAAAGTATGAATAGAAAAAGAAAAGTCTAGACATCGAACATAATCCAATCGATAATGATATGTTTCAGAAAGCTTTCACAGATTTCCATATAACAACTGCGGAAGTTATAAGTTATAAATCAAAGAAAAATTACTTGCTTAGTTTTATATTCAAAATCATGATTTTTAGACAAACTAAGAAAATGTTATCACAGTGAAGGGCAATTCACAACTTTCATTGATTAAACAAATAACAAAAATAAAAAACAAAACAAAAACATACTGTTTAAAGCCAACATCATTACGCAAAATGATTAAATTCGGGGGGGGGGGGGGGAGATGATTTTAGATTACAAAAGCAACAACATAATTTCAGGATTTGATCATAATTATATTAACGTTTTTTTGTTGACTTATGACATATTCTTAGATGAAGGGACCTGACCCTAATAGAGACTCTTAATCTATGACAGTCACCATGATATCACCAAGGTAGTATAGAATGTCCTTTACGTGTCCTGTATGTGAGAGATTCTTGAAGACACTGTAAAGCTATGGGATCCTCGAAATAGTATAATTTGTTAACAAACAGATGAGGCATGATGGATATCAAAGTAAGATCTGCAGAGCTGAACACGCATAAATGGTGGATATAAGATCCGTGACAGACATGTTTGTGTGTATGCTTCCAATTGACGTAGGTGGTGAGGTCCATAGTGCTTCCGTCGAATCCTCCAGGGGCTCCAGGAACGCGGTTCAGTGATGCCCAGTAGTGCTCATCCGGAGACCATGCATCCTCAAGCCACTCCAGGAACCTCTGGGGCATCTCCTCGGTGAAGACATACTCCACGAACCCTCGTGTGAGGGAGTTGTACGCGTTTCCAGAGAACAGTCCGATGTTTCCTGGCGGAGGGTTCCGCTTTAATCTGGTTTCGACCGGTAGCTTCCGGTTCTGTCCGTATCTGAGGAATCTATTAAGTTTCTTACCGGAAGTCGGGTAGGATTCGACGTCATTGAGGCCATGGTAGCTCTTCAGTTGTCGAACCATCTCCAAGTTTGTCTTCAAAGGGAAAGCCTCGCCACATTGGTTGATCAAGTATTTCCACTGTACGGGATGCTTTATCAAGTCTCGCATGCAGTTGATATCCGCCATGAGACGCGAATGCTTCCCATATTCAACATCCTCAAGCTTAGAGCAAACAAAGACGTTGTCGAAACAAGACGCAATATTCCGGACAGCTTCTATGAACTCCGGCGGTGATTTGCCATCTGGGTGAATGGCATAGACATTCTGCGGTTGGTACAACGCTCGAAGGAGCTTCTCCACTTGTGCGGCATTGCGATGAACCACTATCACAAACGCCAAAGGATACTGTTCTTCCTCCAGCGAACCAACCCGTTGCGGATATCTCCTCTGTTCTTTGAAGAAGCCGCAGTTGTCCGCATAGGCCACAACGTCTCTGTCCGAAGGTATCGGTATAAGCCCATCCGATGTCATCTTGATAACTTCTTCATAAAGTTTTCGGACGAGATTTAACTCCCTCGGACTCCCTTTCATAACTTCACCACAATGAACGGGATAATCCAGATGAAGAGGGATGTCTAGAACCACTCTCTCACGAGTCCTTGACGTGACCATGATGCACAGGACCAATGAATAGATCAACGTGATGGTTGGCCAATGGTTCCAGAGGCGGAGACAATACCGGCGCATCCTCAGAGACTGTCTCCTGGAGAATCGGATCTCAGTCAGTTGAAAGAAAGTCATGTTTGGATCAACTGTATTTACATGGCACCCTTGCATACGAGAAGCATATTCCAAATCAGTCATTAATGCTATGGAGGTCTATAGACGTATACCCATCGAAAGCGTGAGTCTACTCAAGCCAAAATCCGTCTGCTTTTGAGCTTGATGAGATCCTATGGGACTTTGAAATTGCGTTTAACTTCATGGCAACTGCATTGCAACTGCATTATTGATTACAATCTAACAGGACGAACAAAATGAAAATTTCCAAGTTTCGGTTTATTCATTCTTCACTCCCTGTTTACTGGGAGCGGTTGAGCCATGTATAAACTCTATGAGGATTATAGAACTTCACATGCAACGGGTTAACAAACTACAGAGGGACAATGGCTTGAGACCGCGCAAACGAAAGGCATTGAATATTGTGCGTTATATTGCCAAATTAATGCAAAGAACTAATATGAATATAATAATGAAGTATAAGATTTGAGCTTAACGCATTATTTTGTAGAGACCTTCGCAAGATTGGCAGACGTCTGAACATTGTAATTCAGTTTCATTATTGATTGATAAGGACAAAATTATTATCAATTCTTAACATGTACTTTCCACACATACTGCATGTGTTTTGGTAATGTTCATCACGCCTACAGGTATACAAGCTAATTTGGACACTGATCATAATACAATTTGAAAGCAAACTTATATTAGCATCGAGCGCTGCATACGTGTATGTCATTTACAATCGCACAGTTAACAACTATATGAAAATTGTTGCTTTTGTGTGTTTTTTAATCACTCAATAATAAAAGGTGGACTGGTCGATTCTGGGGGCCTTTGTTGAATAATTTTAGATGTAAGGTTTAATATGTCACATTCCCAAGAAACGCAAATCTGGACAAATTATTTTTTCACATACTTATTTTTGTTTACAAAACTTAGTTCGGGTATAAATAATTGAGTTAGTAACTATAATGTAGCGCTCAGTGCCGCTACTCAATCAATAACCCACCATGAAACGAATAAGAGTAAACAGTCTTTAAAAAATGATTCTCCCCTCATACGATGGATATAGATAATAAGGGGGATTACCCGGGGACACCTCCAATTGTACAGAACTACACCCATTGCCGATATGTTGGTGTCCTGACCCCCCCCCCCCCCGCCCTTCCTCAGGCCAAGGTCTGGATACGCCACTGGACTACCCAGAAGGAACAGGAAATGAACGTGATCTTTCTCTCGAATTCTTCTTCTAAAACGATATCTCTGGTGGATGGATTTGTTTATTTTCACTTCCATACCAAGTCGATGACATTTTCTTCATCTGTCCAAATAGTCATGACATGTTTATCACCAGAGAATATCTCATTTATCAAGACCTATAGTTGTTTTGTTTCTTTCCATAAACATGACAAAATACGACGGCAAATAAAAGGAATATTCCGTGTTCAGCCTTTTCCAAGCAGATCCACTCCACTTCTAGAAGTTGTTCACCAGCTGGTTTCAAATGAGGGGGTGGGGGGGGGGGGCATTTTTTTCTCCAGAAAAATTTAAATTCAAATTCATTTATTAGAGTCCAACGTTACTTTTCTTTTAACCTTAAGGCGGTCACTTAATTTTGGAGTTGAATCGGCTCCCATTTATACTGGAACAATAGTGATCTAAATTACTCTTTTAAAAGTGGATTCCACAAGCTATAGCGTTGTTTTCCACTCCAAGATGAAGTGATCCCTCAAAATTTTGACTCCCAAAAGAGTGGATTTATCCCCATGTTACCTGAA